CTAGTCGTTAGGTCAGAAAATGCAGAGAAACCAATGAGGTGATGGATCGCCAACGTTCTCGCCAAGGTGCGGCGTCCGAAATTAACGTCGGTCCTTGGGCCCGATTCCGACTGAAAACCACTCGGACCCACAGCTTTTGTTTTCTGCACGCCCTTAATGGCCCTCGGCTTTTTCAGCCCCAATAACTAAGAATATTATTTTTCAGAAGATATCATTCAATAATTTGTAGATCTTATCTCGATCGGCAGCTGATAAGATAATGGTAGACAACATAGGGTGGCGTTGATTGGTTTGACATCGTGGTTCCTGTTAGTCTACTGTCAGAATGTGCTGGTTTTTAGATTGCTAGCCCCGAAAAAGAAATCTTAGCAGACTAAAGAAGATGCCCTGACGCCCCGACTCCAGTGTTGCCCCATGCTGTGGAAACGGCCGAGGAGTCTGATATCTGCAGCAGTGGGTGCCGGTGTCAGTGGTGCACAAACTGCATTGACTCTGACTGCTCTGACATATCCCTGTCTGAACATTCTCATTCAGACTTTTCATAAGACTTGGATCTTGACATGGATGTTTATTTTGTTATAAATGAAGACTAGTTAATCACCAGACCCAAATTAAACTCAGTTTGTTAGCTGTCACATTTTGTCTGCTGGGAATTACTTATATTGTAGCTAACATATTGGGCCTACTCATTCTGATCAGGACCCATAACCCTTTATGGTTCTGGGTCCTTTGGGTCGCAGCTTTTCATGGTTAAGGGCAAACACTGCCAGGATGGCGTCGGAACGTGAAGACAGTGAACTATTGAGGCTCACTCAAAGACAACCATTCTGAAGAACCACGACAACAGTCCAGAATCGCCTAATGGGAACCGTGTACATCTCTGGCAATGTCATCAAATGACCTCTACTGAGCGATCATCACCATCAAGCATGTTTGGCTTGGTGTTTGAATGAATTAAAAAACTAAAACCAAAAAAAACAAAAAAAACCCACAAAAAACAACACACAGCACATGCAACACAATTTCATGAAGTACATTCGTTATACAGACAGTATGATCGTCATTAATTTTACACAAGCCTTTATCTTTGTACTTTGTGTGCACTTTGTACGATTTCATCGTTGTTGCCAATCCGTTATGCATGCGTGAGTGAGTGAGTATTTAGCACTATTCCAGCAATATCACGGCGGGAGACACTAGAAATAGGCTTCACACATTGTGCCGATATGGGGAATCGAACCCGGGTCTTCGGTGTGACGTGCGAACGCTTTAACCACTCGGCTACCCCACCGCACCACTGGTAGGACAGGATAGTCAATACGTTATATATTTCCGTTCATTAAATATTTAGTATTAGAGGCAGATACCTCAGATATAATAGAACAGATACAAGGGGCGTTCAATACATTTTGCAACTTGGGCATTTGTGCTTACACAAATTATGTCAAGTTGTGGCAGGTGTGACACTAGTCATTACATCAGACTGACACGCGTCATAACAAGTTCAAACCGAAACATGATTCTCATGAATCAATTCAGACAATGAACTACTTTTCAGCCTGGGCAATCTTATGCCAATTTAATGAAATGAAATGATTTGCGAAACTCTATTCGCCAGAAACGCCGTGGGATGTTAATAATGGTGTTCTACTTTCGCTTGACAATGCTTCGGTTCACAAGTCGAGGATTGCACAGGCCGTCATACGTGCATGTGGATTCGAACAGTTAAATCAAACACCCTACAGCCACGATCTAGCCCCCAGTGACTATTTCCTGTTCCGGCAAATGAAATCTGCCCTAAGTGGCAGATGCATCCACGGAGAACACAAAGAACACAGGGAAAACAAAGGCTGCCTCAGAGGCGTGGTTAGAGGACCAATTGGCAGATTTCTATAAAGTGGTATTAATAGGGGGAAGGCCAATAGGAATAAGTATACTGAGGTGAATCGAGATTATGTTGAAAAATAAAAGTGCAAAAGAAATTCTGGGACTTGGTCTTATATTGAAGTTGCAAAATATATTGATTACCCCTCGTATAATAAATGACCTGACTTGGATCATCTGTGATATAACATATGCCACACCAGAGTGGAGTTTAGGTGAGATCTAAACCTACCGATAGATTTTGTTTACACCAGGGTTGTGTTTAGGCTATTTGAGATCTAAACCTACCGATAGATTGTGTTTACACCTTATCATTCTGCTCACGGAATAAATGTGTATACATTGTATTGCTGAGATATAACAAACTTTGTTTTCGTCCATAAAGTTATTCAAGCGTTTGAATGTTGCGTGTTCTATTATTCCAACTTAAATTGATGCGTACTTAATAGTTTTCCTTTTTGAGAGCCGTATGTGAGGCATAAAGTGATATTTCAATTACAAACAAAGAACACGAAATATAAATCAAATTTATGGTGTTTATATGCCATCTACACCTGCAAAGAGACGTTTTTACACGCGAACAACAATAGACCGAAGATAAACACGACGAGTGATAGAATTTGAGACACCCCGGATTATCCCGGGTATGTGGATGAGTACATACAAGTCTGTCATTGACTGTCATTGACTGCTAACTGGCCCGTCGCCAGTATCCATAAAATGTTGTCTTTGACTTTAACAATGTCTTTTTTTAAGCACTTATTAGATATTGTGTGTTGGGATTCCCAAGCGTAGCGCTGTGTTGTGATTGGCTAACACATACTTCCTGGTTCGATTGTTTACATCACTACGCAGGTGTTGCTATGTAGGCTTTGAAATGATTACTCACGCAGACTTAACTGGTCATCGAGGTTGTTGTAAATACCTTATGTATTAACTCCTTCATGCTCGTTTTCATTCACGTGTTCATACACGTGTCCTAGATACCTCGTCCATGGTAATTGTTTTCACGTAAATACTTGAAATATATACATAGGATTAATATATTGCACAACGTATACACTTACTGTTTAAATATTACAACGTATTACAAACATTTATGATATTAAATCTACTCATGACAATAATGGTTGGCACCCTCTCCCACCCCAACCCCCACACACAACCCACACCCCCGCCCCACACCTCTCTCCAATTAAAAAATTGAAGGGGGTGACAACCATTATTGGCATGAGTATATACGAGGAGCAATCGAAACTCAACCTCTCGTATGATTTATATGTTTGTTTTTCAATTGAAAATAGCCCATGTAAATAATTGTATATCGGCACGAACCTGTATTTCATGTTGACATTCATACTTTCTTTACTCACACTAATTTCAACATATATAAACCTAACTGGCAGATAGGTTTTAAGTGAACATCTGTGAATAATTTCATCATGAAAATGTCCAGTCAACAACAACATCAGTGACGCAACAACGACATCACACAAAGGAGGGGTCACTTGCAGTCAAGATCGGGTGTGTCCACCGTGCGCTGCAAGACATGCTCGCAGTCTTTGGGGCATTGAAAGACACACAGCTGTTGGATGGTCTGCAGCCTCTGATGGTCTGTGGTCTGATCATGACACCACCCCCTTCAAAACGATCATGTTTAAGGACACAGTTTGGCGCAAGTCTTTCTCCTTTACGTCGATAAATCTGTTGACGTCCATCTGCAAAGGATAAGTTAAACCTGGATTCATTTCAAAAAATGACATCTGGCCATGTCCTGTTGCCAAGATTGGCCCCATTTGCTGCCCATCGCTGTCTGGCAAGTCTGTGGCGATGCAATAAGGTTGGACCACGGTACGGGTGACGACACCGGATGTTGAAGGCAGCAAGGCGTCCTTGCACGTTTTAGGTGGTGAAATGACGTTGACTTGTCCCAATTGTCCTCCTTGCCTAATCATCAGCTGTTTGGAACCGATTTCGCAAGTGTGAAACTCGGATATTGCGGTTTTGTCGAGCTGTTATCACAGGTGGTGCACCATGTCGCGGACGATCAGCAACACTTCCGGTAGCCGAAAACGTTGTCTGAGTCGACTTACAGTGGATGGATGCACATTAAAGTGCCTGGCAATCATCACATCTGAAGCACATTGGCTGACCATGCCGATAACCTGATTCCTTTCGTCTTGTGTCAAGTGTGGCATTTTCTCAAAGTGATTGAGTTCCACAATTCCTTGTGCTTGTACAGGGCCTGGGTGCAGGTAATGCATGTGCACAACGTGTTTCATGAATGTGGTTGTGTTTACGAGAAATGTCAAAGGTTCAGTTTTAAGTATCAAAGTTCATGTGAGAGGAATGCTCCGGGACTCGAACTCGAAATGGGCCAGAATAACAGCCTTTTATCCCTACATCCTCTGTATCGCAGGAAAAAATCTTCAATAGAACTTTTGTAAGTTTCAGGACAACAAATTACCAATTGCGTTTTTAATGGTTTACAGTATAGTATAAATGTTTGCTCAAATACAAAATAGCTGACGGACATCTTTATACACATCTAGTCTTTGATAATCAATAAATCTGCTTGTGGGGGGATATATTAGAAACATGTCAAACATGTCATGGAATTGCAGTCTCATTTTATATCTCAATCTTCACACAAAACAAGGTTTACGTAGAATTTCCCGTCATCGGTTACGTTTCATTGACAGCTGCAGGGATGGATGATCCACAAATAGTTAATGCTAAAACCTGGTGACAGTTCTTTCAATTTTATATTACACTGAAACACAACTAGTTATACTTTACTTAGCTCTCAGTCTTTATGTATCAAACCAAAAGTGTAAAACTGAAACTATTTGCTTACATGACACAACAAGAGAGTGACCAGAGACAGATGGACATGTGGTGTACAACGTTACTTCAAAAATCAAATGTTACTTCTGAACTCAGTCCATTTCTGAGACTGTACAAATTCAAGCAATTCTTTTGACTTTTTGAGAATCCACATGTTATTTAATACACTTGTCTCAAACACTTTCTGTGAACATTGCGAACATTCCACGATGGTATTGAGGATTATGTATAATCTTTGAGACAGGCAGAAAATAGTAAACGCCGATATCTGAATGCATTTTGTATTGTTTATTACATTCAATCTTGTCAATGATCACAAGAAAACGGCCCTATGGCATCATAATCATAATCACAATCTCATATTCACAAAGAGTACCATAGATATGAATAATTATATAAACGGCAAAACAATTTCCATATAAACATATAGAGTCCGTTGCACTATTCCGGCTACTTCAGAAGCATGTGTGTAAATTGAGACAATCGATTTCGTTGATAAGATACGACCATGACCTGTGCTTGTTATCAGCGTATTTTCATTACCGGACAGTTTTAGCAAATGCCTATGTTTAACTCGAAGGCTGAATGTGACCATCCGTCACCGTAAGGGACCGTTCATAATTTATGGCTAGTGTGTGCGTGTGTGTGTGTGTGTGCGTGCGTGCGTGCGTGCGTGTCCGTGCGTGCGTGCGTGATGGTTTTAAGGGGGTCGCCCATTTATTCTGGGAAGGTACTAGGGGGGGTAGGTCATCAATTTTATGCCCATATACTAGGGGGGTCAGCAATTTTGTACATACACGCCCTACCTATAAATTGCGAACGGGCCCTAGTATGAAGAGCAAGTCCATTATCTCCTCAATATTCTTCACGCGCCATTGAGGTCTTTAAATTATATGCCAAAGGATATCATGACTAACTTAGCTATATATCTGACAGTGCAACTGAACTTTACTGGACCTACCACGTTTGGGCAAGAAGCCAGAGCTATCCTGATAATAATAACAATGTTAGAAAGTCCGTTTTCTATCAACATCGAATGTTGACATTACCAGGTACACACAGATCGGTGTGTTTCAGACATGCAGTGTTAAAATCCGAATTCTTCAGTGATGAGATATACTGTTCTTTTACGGCACTGACGTCATCACAAGAATCCGGACTGCCGAGGATGCCACCAGACGCACCGATGAGGTCAGCCTTATCTGCGTACAAATTCATACATTGATGTTTTTACAATATATCCATTCCATTTACAAAAATAGTTCATGTTCACAGATACCGATATACATCATAATATTTATAGCCACATACCAACATCACGATAGAGATACAACCCCGTTGGAATGTAGCTCATACCCGTGAAGGTCCGGGTTAGAATATTGATCTTCAGTAACCCATGCTTATCGTAAGAGGCGACTAACGGGATCGGGTGGTCAGGCTCGCTGACTTGGTTGACACACGTCATCGGTTCCCAATTGCGCAGATCGATGCTCATGATGTTGATCACTGGTTTGTTTGGTCCAGACTCGATTATTTACAGACCGCCGCGATATAGTGCGGCGTAAAACTAAACTCACTCACTCACTCACTGGAATATAGCTCTGTATACCCTATTGTGAAACGTAACTAAATCAAACCAGGTAGTTCGGCTCGGTAACATTGCGATTCAACCTGTGCTTCATGACATCAACCACGGCAAAACACTTTGTGGTCGACGTACTTATTTGCGAAAACCCGGTGTCATTACTGATTTTCACTTATCCAGTCATATAATTTTCACCACTAACTTGCCTTTTACGACCAGTTGAGAATACTTATTCATATTTGCATAGAAATAGAAGGTGATATACTAGCACGTAAAGAAAACATACATACACGTATATCTGGATTAGTGGATCGAATAGGCTGATTGAGGGGGGCATGACTTTCTAACTTTATGGCTCTTTTAGCAATATCATACAGTATTAGAATATCACAACGCGAACAAACAAGCTGTTTCTCAAAGTGTAGTGTAGTAGAGAATAGAACTGGGTGACTAGCGAACTCTCAGTAAACAAAGCTACCACACATCTTGGTGTAACATTTCGTACAATGAACGTGCTTCACCACTGTTCAAATACAAATGAAATAAATATCCAAACTCATTAATAATTATATTTTTTCAAAATATAAATGTGTTACCTTCACACTGGATCATTCCTGGGTTTGAAGACCAGGTTCCGCCTGCTCCACACGCATACCATTGGCTGCCATCAATGTCACGTGGTAGGGTTCGGTTCGCCAGGCAGCCAATCAAACAATATTGTCCAAAGTCTGGTCGCCAACCGTTACAGGCCACGTAACCAAACTCGGGGACAGACAAGTTATCGCATGGAAAAGCTGTAAAAGAAAATAGGGAAATTTGAAATAAAGCACACGTCCTCTTAATAAAGATACGTTAAATATAGTATGACTAGAAATTATTGAGAATTTTAGGAATATGTTTAATTGGATTTCTAGTATAAACAACCTTGACCAGCTATCAAGTGCTTGGTTTCATTCAAGAGAGACAACTCCGTTAATCCTTTTTCATTAGTTGTGAAGAGTTATCCCCCTTTGTTTACTTGCTAACAGACGACATTTTCAGTGATCCTCAGTATGGATGATTTAGAGAAGAGGAAGTTGATTTTAGAGTATGAGAAAAAGGACATCAGATCAGCTAAAGTGATTTCAAGTAGAACAGGCATCCCTTTGTCCACTGTTTATTGTGTTTTGAAAACTATTGCAAATGGATATGGCATTGAGCACCAAGGAGGCACAGGTAGGCCTAGAAAATTGACTGTCGGTGACAGGAGGCGGCTTGGTATTCTTGTTTCTAAATACAAACGATGGAGTTTAGAAAACCTAAGGCTGGATATGATTGATAGAGGGACTGTGGCTGTCCGTAAGGAGACAATTAGAACTGAGCTGCATGCAATGGGTTGGCAGAAAAGTCGAGGAATTCCATCACCGATCATGAAACCTGAACAAAAGGAGCGAAGGTTGAACTGGTGCTTACAGCATAGATTTTCTCAGATGAAAGTTCTGTGTGGCTGTTTCCAAGTACACTGAAATTCTGGACCAAACAAACTGAAAAACCTCTGTATCAGCGCCCAAAGTACAGTCCGAAATTTTACGTGTGGGGTGGCATATCTGTGTTAGGGGCAACGCCCTTCTGTGTATTTGAAGGGAATATGAACAGTGAGCGGTACACAGATATTCTCGAGGGACATTTACTTCCATCTTCTCATGTGTTGTATGGAAATGTTTCGATTTTCCAGCAGGACAACGACCCAAAACATCGTTCATAGCATTCACAGGCATGGTTTCGGACCCAAAATATCACATTATTAGATTGGCCAAGCTATAGCCCTGACCTAACTCCAATAGAAAATGTTTGGGGACTTATGAAGGAAAGTGTCAATAAGAAAAATCTGACAAATATTGCTCAAATGAAAGAAGAGGTGGTCCGATATTGGGACAGCATGGACCACGACTTTCTAACTTCTTTGATCAGTAGTATGCCCCGCCGCATTGAAGCCTGCATTGCTGCCCATGGTGACTTGACAAAATACTAACTGTTCACCTGTCTTTGAATCTGGATTTATGTTCTGCTAATATTCACATTTAATACGTGAGTGATGAGTGAAAAAAATATAAAAAATATCAATCTTTAAATTCTCAATAATTTCTGGTTGTACTGTAGTATAATATGGTTTATGTGTTTAGAACGATATAACAACTGGGTGCATATTGTTGGGTGTATAAAACCGGACATCAGTTTGGGTTTTTTAACGCCTCATTGATCGATATATCGATTTATTGATAATGTAAATAATGGCGTCTGTACTAGAAAACATTGTGTTTAAAATTTTAAACATCTCGATCCACACATTTTGGATTCGATCACGTACAAACGACCAAAGCATGACCACTTTGACCACCGATCCATTTAGTGACCGTCATTATGTAAGGCTAATTCTGCTAGGGACCTGAATGCTGACAGCAACTCTAACGGGTAAACTTGACATGTACCATTTACTAAAAGATTTACCAGAGATTTGCTGAGAATTTGTTTGAACATTCAGTGCCTCAGTAAAGCTTTCAGAAATCGTGGTAGACGTGTGTAAGACATTTCCAGACACATCAGTGAGCAATAGATCCTGTATAGTTCACGTTTTGACTAATTATTATTCAATATGCTTTGTGCTTTCTCTAGCAGTTGTCTAGGTTTTGCGTGTGTTTATGATAAGTGTCACAGGTAAGGCAGGAAACGCTCACCTTTGTACAAACATCCGTTTTACCATTGTGGTTGTGGAATGGGATTTTACTTTTACCTACTGCTGGACCAGGTTAGAAAAGGTCTTCAGCAGCCCATGCTTGCCGTAAGAGGCGGGGCTGGGTGCAGACTGAGACTCGCTGACTATTTCATCGCTTCAAAAAATGATGCTTATGATGCTGGTCACTGGATTGTCTTGTCCAGAGTCGATTATGTAAAGTCCGCCGTAATTGCTGAGTGTGGCGTTATACAACAAACAAACCTACTACTTCTGAATTATAAACCCTATTATCTTCTCAGTACCCAGTTTGTATCACGATGACATTATCAGTTCCAAAACTTCTAACTGTCCATACACAGCTTCTAACATCACATAACCACCCATGCATATATCCCCAAATGGCCTAAATACAGTTTTTATATATACATATTATAACTGCATCGAGTAACATAAGGTTTGTTGGCGTTTGTCCTACATATTTGTGAGTTTTAATAAATACTTGCAAGAAGTAGCGATGTTAAACGGATCCCAAACAACATAACCTGATTGTAAGAAGAGGATAAATGGATCGGTGGCCAGACTTTGTGGCATGCTGATAGCGTGCCTCTGTTCAGACTGTTCAGACAATATATCACTGTTCAGACAACAGAAATTACAGTCCGACGTCATATGCCTGGATTACTCCTCAGTGAATACATTTTTCAGGCTTAACCCAGAGGTCAGGTTATTACCAAACCAATGAGAATCTTACCGGCCATTCAAACAAGAACAATGAGCCATGAGGACAGGTAGAACAAGCTATTGAAATGTGTTCGATGGCGTAAATTAAGATCTGGGAGATATGCCACAAGTTATTAATGCATTTGTCATATCTGTTGTGTTGTGTTTGGTCTACTGCCTATGTACATTCTTTCACAAAGGAGAACAGGTAGCTGTGTCGCGAGGAAGAAGTAGAACGACCCCCACAGACCATTGTTCATAATGTAATATGTCATGGTTTACCATTGAATGTGTCTGCCAATTCATTGCGCAATATCGACCGTTAACAATGCAGTCACTTAATGAATGTAAATACACACATGGTTCTGGTTTAACGTATCTATACCTTAATATCATATTACGACATGTCAGCCTTACGTGTCGGGACTTCCCATAATGTACAGACTTAAGATGCGCATCAGTGGTAAAACCCATGAGTACAGATATAGTGCTGACAGTCAAATCTATCATACGGCGACCCTGGGATGTGAACCTTAATTGACCACTCCCGACTCTGTGAGTGTGTATGCGTGTGCGAGCGTGCGTGCGTACTTGCGTGTGGTCGTGAATGTATGTTCATGCATTCATTTTTTGTGTGCGTGCGCGCGTGCGTGGGCGTATGTTAATGCTTACGTCTAATGCTGAGTTGAAACTTGCACTCTTTCTGTAAACCATTGTTTGCCTTGGTGGCCACGTACTGGACGAAGAAGTCGCCCCAGGGGAAGCGGGAGGAGTTGCTGATGTAGTTGGATGTCGTTGTGACTTCGTTACCAAGTGGGTCTGTGAAGGTTGGCACTGTCCACTCATGGGTCAGTTCGTGGTCAGCTGTATTGAGATCTGTCCTGTTTTCACAGCCACTCATTACAGGGGGCTGGACGTCTGAAGGAAGGATGTGTATATGGTTCATATTTGTAAGGTTGAAAAATCAGATATAAAGTACATATACTGGACAAAAATAGTTAGGATATATGTAAATTTTGAAATTATGAATTATGATCTATTTATTCATTGACTAACTGATAAAATATCAATCATAAAAATACCAATATCCCTAACTCATTTTGTCCAGTATATAATGAATAAACAGTCATAAATACTCAAAAATATGCCACTCCGTCGCTTTTGTGTCTGAGAAGAATACTTGGGACAAAAACGTATTATCAGATTTGAGGTGCTATTAGCATTCAATGGCGCCCAAATGTCTTGACTTGACCAGACATGTTTGAAGTCCTACCTTCTTCACAGTTGACCCCTGACCACCCAGGTGGACACATACACGTGAACAGGTCCAGGCCGTTCACACACGTGCCTGCGTTCTGGCAGGGGTTGCTGTTGCAGGATTCAGCGACTGGAGACACAAACAAATGTGACCGTTATACGAACAAACAAACGCCTTGAAATATTCTGACGTGGTGTGTAGCAATAAATGCCATAGACTTGACAAGACATACCATGATCACTTAATGCGTGTTGCTGTATTGTAGCTGCTTCGTTATATCAGGGGATATTCGAGAATAACAAGTCATTGCAGCGAGTTGGCGGGCACTGGTAACGGATGGCCGAGCGAAAGTTAGGACCAGTTGAAACATTGCAACAGATATGTTCACGGTGTATTCGTAGGTTGCAAACAGAAAGACGACAGGTGGCTAAACACTGTCTCTCCAACACCCAACCACACGCCTCATCGTAGGCCAAGCATCTGCTTATGAGGCATGGTCCGAACTGATATAAATTTGAGAGGGTCTCATAAACTCTTGTTTCTCAACACCTGACCCAATAATGACCCAGTTTCAACGACCAAGGCCCACGCGTGCTCTGGGTCAGGAATTTTGGCTGGTCATTGTATGTTTTCCAGGTAGTAAGTTACAATGTGTGTACGGTGGATACGAGCCTCACCATCTTCATACACAATAGACGCGACAAACCCCTTTCCACATTCATGGACCAGGATTGTAAACCGCACGACCAGTACGAGTTTTCGGTTGAGTTGTTCAGCTACCCTTCCATGGATACTGTACAACAGCATTCTGGCGGTCATCCTAATGGTCATACTGACCACGCCACACCAGACCTAATCCCAGTTGGCGTTGGAAGAATGTGCTGATGTATCAAGGTTTGTACTCAGTGGATGTCTCTCGTTGAGTTCTACTTCGCAGTTTGAAGAATGGAAAAGCCCTTAGTCGTTCAGCACAGTGTAGGTGACATATTGTGGTAACAAATACTGCATTATAGTAAAGTGTCGATAGCTGATATATATATGTGCTACTGTGTCTAATGAATAGCATCAATGGCCGAGATCGGTTTCAGATAATTCCCTAGAGGGTGACACCCATAAACAGAGGTACTGAATGACTGACGGGAAATGTTTTGTTTATGTTAGAGTGTTCGATGTTGGTCCCAGTGTTGTTTTACCTCATTCGATTTTCATATCCGACTTATCTACATCGTTCAGGCGCACGTTCCTTTGAAGAGGATGATCCATGCGCTATGAACATAGAGATTATTACACGAATGTTTCATACGACTTATACGAAACGAGTGTGAAATTCTTTTCGCTCGATCAATACAAAATTTTGCACGAATTTCGTATAAGTCGTGTGGCACACTTGCGAGTGTAATAATTTCTTTTTAATCCATTTTATTCATGTACATATGTGCAGTAAAACACGGTAAGCAAGCGTGACTGCCCTGTTCACTGATGTCACGTTCAACTGTTTAATGACGTCACAGATAATGAAATACAGAAACAATGGTTGCTTGGCAAAAGTCATATCTGCGCATGTGCACATATGATATATATGACACTGGTTATGTTTCACCATATGGATATAAATACCATTATTAAAGGTCTAAAGATTCAACATTAAAGGTCTAACGGTTCTGTTTCAATATTCTATTATTCGTCCGGTTGTGGTACTTGCATCTTTTTATTGACTCGGTCAGGTTGCTATCCCTTGGTAAGTCCGACATACGACTCTCTTCTAAATGTTGCCATTGCCCCTCTTTGAGGACCAGTGGGATGTGGTCAATGCTTCAGTGCGGCAATGCTGCAATAACTTTTTGCTGTAGAACCATGATAATTTGGATTAATGAGTCATGACTTACATAGGCACCTTGGCGTAGACCCTGTCCAGTAGCCATATGTGGAGTAGCTGCCGTATGTTGAACACGTCATTGTGGCCGATCCAGTCATATTGTATCCGTCGCTGCATGTGTATGTGGCCACACTGCCGTAGTCGTAGCTGTCGCTGACGGTGTAGGCACCGTTAGACGTTGTTTGTGGCGTACCGCAGGTAACAACTTACAGAAAGACAATAGCGTTATGTGAATAAAAAGAGACATATAAAGTGGTTTGTTATATGAGGTAAAAATAGAAAATACTTTGAGAGAGCCATTTTGTAAAATTAATTACTGAGAGAGGAACATGACAAAATACTTTCATATTGGTCGATATCAGCCGGCTTTACATCAAAGGGTCATTCACCCACTACACATGCAGCCACATTTACCCGAAGAAAGACCAATTATCACTAACTGATCCTTGAAGGACGGATTAGAATAGATGGCAGCGGACTGAAAATAATCGAGTCTGGACCAGACAATCCGGTGATCAACAGCATAAACATCGATCTAAGCAACTGGGATACGATAACACGTGTCAACCTGACCACCCGATCCCGGTAGTCGCGACAAGCATGGGTTGCTGAAGACTGATAAATATCTTAGGTAAGTACTGTGTCATTATACAAGCATTCCCTACCTGCGTGGGGGATATAACCTGGTGAAATCAGTTTTATGTTTCGATGAATAACATACAAACGGTTACTAATCAGGACACGGAGATGGTTTCAGCAAACAGAGGATTAAATACAGACATGTGATTAGTTCAATAACTTTACCATTATCACAGCATGTTCCGTATCTTCCTGCCGGGCACCTGCATCCGCCGTAGGAGGAGTCGTACGAACCGAAGGTACAGTGGGTGTTGCAGTCTCGGTAGTCATAGGCGCCGGCTCCACCATCACAGTGTCTAAAAGTCCCACAACTGTCAAGAACTCGCACTTGCCTCTCTCTCACCTGCCTCCCGTAGCAGAGCTTCGAGCATTTCGCCCATTCTTGCCAGGCTACCCAGCTGCATCCACAAGCATCCCATGTTGAAGCTCTCTGACTCCACGCAGCAGGCAGCATCAGCAGAACAAATATATACCATATACATGAAAACATTGTGGCCTTGTAAACCCTTTTCTGGTTGTAGAAGATACTATCCGGATGAAAACTTCATCAAAAAACCCTGTTGACTGTTTCATCTATTTCTAGAGACAAGATTCGGAAAACAGTCCTTGCATTACCTCCTCAATGGCTAGACAAAGACGTCGGTTGAGATAAGGCTATTGGGTAGATTTGGGACCGCCTATCCATACTGGCTATACTTAATGCAGGCGTCACACGACAAGGTGTAATCAAATACGCCGCCTTCACATGATCTACACCCGAGACAGGCTTTTCTGTTAAAGGCATAGAAACAGACTTCAGGCAACCAGCAGGGGTAAGTGGAATATTGCGCTACAGATAAGTCTTGAGTACATTTAGCAAGATAGGTGTTATGAGTGTAAGCTAAAGTATCAATCTTGCAGATATTTACATTTTCCTTTTGATTTCCTATAAGTGGTTGGTTAGTTCTCAATTACTGGATAAAGCCCTGTCAGCCTAAACTGAACCCGCAGATCGCTAGTTGCAAAGTTGAAGGAGTTGAGTTGAGTTGAATTTTACGCCGCACTCAGCAATATTCCAGCTATATGGCGGCAAAGTTGAAGGAAGAATTCAAGAATTAGTCATACAAAAAAAATATATACACGACAACGATAGTACAATGTTATTAACATATTTTCCGAGCTGTCGGATCAAATGAAAAATGAAAAACTTACGCCAACATATTACATATTTTTTCCAGGTTTATTCTGAATCGTTATTGTTTTACACACCGTACGTAGATACGTTTCCTAATGTTTTTCACCTATGCATATTAATAGGAAAATAGAACAATTCAATTTTTACTCGTTTGGTTTATGATGATTATATGAATCCGTTGATAATTACACTTATCGCCTGTAGTATGGAACTGTGGAAGATTCGATGCCAACAAATGCTGTATACGCTATACTGTTGCTTCAAGGGTATTGAGGTCACGACTCGTAGTCCAGATTTAACAGTGTTATGTTTTCAAGACCAGTCACCGATCGATTTAATATTCTACCGGTGTCCAGGATAATCTGAAAATAATAATATATCTCCGATATTTACTAACATAAACGTAAATGTTTGCAGTATTAGCTTCATTCCCTGGAATATAATATTTCTCCTTTCATTATCAAATATATTTGTCATTATTTCGAGGTATTTAGTCGGGTTGTCCCATGGCCTGCAGATAACAATAAGTTCCTGGCTTCCTGGTATTATCTTAAGGATTCCGGGTATTATCTTAAGGATTCCTGGTATTATCCTAAGGATTCCGGGTATTATCTTAAGGATTCCGGGTATTATCTTGTGGATTACGAGTATCTTTTCGTGGCCTCGGATTATTATCTCGGAGGTTTAAGGTATTATTTAGGGACTTCTTGTTTTTCTCTTTACTTCTGTGTGTGTGAGGTGTGATGCCGTGACTTCTACCAATATTCTTGAGGTCTGTGTGTTTTAGATTAATTACGGCCCGCAGGCCTAGGTGTGTCAGGTAATTAATTAACGACCAGTTTTATCTGGTATTATCTTATGGCCTCTAATTATCATCCTGCGACATTGAGGCATTATCGTCTTGTGACCTTTGCGTTTTATTTCATAGTCTCATGGTATTATCATGTAGTCCTTCAAACAGTGTTTGCTTGTCTCAGGGTAAGATCTCAAAATCTAGAGGTATGTCCTCGCGACCTCCATTATGTTATATTCTTCCGTAATCCAAATTCCGGATTATTATATTTTTAGTATCACATATTCTGCAGGTGATTTTAATATGTGGGCACATGTACTTTACTGGTATGTGTATAACAAATGCCGTAACAATTACTAAGGAAGACTCCACTCAACCTCATTCGAGTAATTACATTAAGTATACGAATGAAGCCGAACTCACAGCAACATGTAGAACAATTAGCTACTCAGTCTGTAAAATTTAGCCAGATGGTATCTTCTTATAAGCCGGCAAAACAAGTGGTTAATGTTATGAGATACATACCACGTCATCAGAAAATGATTACACCAAATCACCTAGCAACTCAATCATTTGCAGCTCCTCTTGCATGCCATATACATATACACCGACAACACATACTCCTGACCCTTCTGGCCTATACCTATACTGGTGGCTGTTACCGTCGCTGAAGATATACATTTCCTTTCTTTAATGCTAGGAACCCGAACTATCGTTCACTGACGATATTCGTACTGAAGTCCCACATGAACATTTCGATGTCTATCTACATTTTGGTGATATTTCGTACTGAAGTCTCACATGAACATTTCGATGTCTATCTACATTTTGGTGTCTATCTATTCTAACGAAAGGGATTCCGTTGTGTAGTGGATAGAGCGTCTAGTCCGATACCGGCCCAGTCATGCATCAACAAGGTAAAACATGTTACTCCATATATAACCCTGCTTGGCACTCGCCAGTAACTGGATAACCAAGGACTGATAGGCTGTAAGACATGTAGAACGGTTATTCATGTTGATCCTAGACATGGCACTGTACAACCGGTCGCATGACCGCATGTCGCACATCTTCACCTACGATTATTTTATTTTTATTTTTATTTTCGTGTCCGTGTTCGTTAATTGTGAAGCCAAGGAACATTCTGGATGATGAAAAGCAAGCATGCTCAGTCTCACGTTTTTGAGGGTGTTCTGGGATTGTGGAAACGTATACATGTGTTTACGTTATAGGTGTACCTTTGCAATATATTCACAAATCCTCCCAAAGCACATTGTCATATATTTATAGTCTATTTACAGACAAGCAAACATAAAAAAATCGATTGTACATTCCTACCTGGAATTTAAAGGGTGAAATGGTTGCCTATCAGCTGAAAAGGATATCATGTTTCGTTATATGCATGCATCAGAAGGATCTCTCAAGAAGAGGGAGACTACTGTAGTAGTATATACAACAGGGGTACGAGATCAATTCCAACAAAAAGACTCTGTAAAGCTTCATTTATGAAATAAAGCTTTTGTCAGCCCTTATCTCTCTCCGCTATTGTATATACCATGGTTTGAATCCCCAGTTAACTTCCTGGTCACTATGGCGAGCCAACACTTTCCTGATCACGTGATACTATGTCGTGTTGACCTCAAGGAAACAGTTTAATGTGACCTGGTTACAGGATACTATTGGCGACAAGGTAAGTGTTAAATATTTTGCTTGGGGGGGTAACATTGTGCCGTCTGGTATGATCAATAATTCCTCTCTGACGAAACCTCTCTCTGGCCCATCTTTCAAGTTTGGCTCGTCGGCTTTGATGTCCATTTTATCTATGTTGTAAGTCTTGACTGACCATGTCGGGTTGGTGGGTCGTTTCCGAGTGTCCCCTTCATGTTCTCCCGGCTGGTAGAGGTACCTCACTTGGACCCGGTCGGGTATCTGTTTCTCCTTCCCATGCGATGGTGCAGTCGGTTCGGCTATCACTGATTTCAGTTTGATAGCGTCGGCCGGTTTCTCGCCGGTGAGCCGAGTGATTTCGTTATTGATAGCCGACACCACTTGAGGTAGCCCCGTCAATCGTTTTCCCGGGTTGGCCATCTCTCTCGCATACTGATGCCCGAATAAGTGCTCGGCTAAAGTCCTATTGAATCTCTCGACTATGGCTTGGCTGCGATGAGCCCCGTCTGCGCCCCCTCTGGCCTGGACGCCGTGCTTAGTTAGCAGTTGTGACACGGCACCCATGAACTCCCGTCCGGGGTCGACTTGCAACATGGTGGGCCATGTCAGCGGGCTGCGCTTGTATATGCGTTCGAATCCGCGGGCTACCTGGGCCGAGTCTTTCGCGGTTAAGGGTTCGGCTTCTTTGTAGCGGCTGGCCACGTCCATGATGGTTAGGGCATACTTGTACCTCTTGTCGTGGGGTAGGAACAGGAGGTCGGCCTGGTGGACGCTATTGGGTACAGCAATGCCGAACTTTCTTATAGGCACGTAGCTTGGTGCCGGTAAATAGATCTGCCACAGGGTGCGGGCCTTGAACAGGGCCTCCTTGAACCTGGCGTGTTTGATGTGTTGTTTCACCACGTACTTCTTGACACCCTTCGCCTTCCGGATCTCGCTATTGTCGGCTTTCAGGATGGAGTACATCTTGGGCCTCAAGCCTATGTACTCCGCTATGGGCGTGCCAGCACACTGGTCCTTCATCTTACCGAGGACCTTTTTATTAACCGTGCTGTGCATGGCATGGTCCTTGGGGTAGTCACTGGTGTTGTATAAATGGATGTGTTTTGTCATCTCCTCGTACACGTCTTCGGTTCGATTCTCCATCAGCAGGGAGTCCGTGTTCATGTACAACACTTCGCACCTTTCGTCATACTGCTTCTTGAGCTCGTTGTAGTAGAAGTCGTACATCAGGTGCTTGGAGAGGTTGAGGATGCTCATCCCAACGTAGACGGGCCGGTTGAACTTGATGTGGCTCTTCCTCATATGTAGGGCTGCCAGATCGTCGGTGAATATCTTGCTCAGGTTGAATGCTAGGCTTGCTATCAGTCTCCTGAGCTTGTCTTCCTCTTTCGCCCGGACCAGCTTCACGGTCACGCGTTTTTGCAAATTCTCCATCGTCTTACCGAACACTGAGTTGTTCATGAGCTTGTACAGGTTTTTCTCGAAATCACTGTTCGCAAGTCTGTGTTCATTCTAATGTAGGGCTCCATCCACGGACTCTGGTCGAACTTGAGCACCCTATGAAGTTTCGTGAGTTTCATTCCCAGCGACAGGTACAGTTGCAGTTTGTGATAGTGAACGATATATTTCTTCTTGTTCATCAAGTTGGGTACGAGTTTCGACGTTAGCCGGTTTATTTTTCCCCAGCAAGTTTTGTTGGTAGTCGGACATCCAATCTGGGTTAACCATCAATCGTTCGGGAGCGAGTGGATAGCTGTTGTGTGATTTGTGTAATTCCACGGAATATTCCAAGTCCACTTCGAGTATGTAGCCTTTTTTCGAATCTGATACGATGCTCATGACATCAATCGCGGATGTCCACTCGAATCCCCCGGTGGGTATAGGTTGCTGGCGTCGAGAAAGAGGATGTTGGTGGTGGGTCGCTTCGGATTATACTTCACGTACTTGTTGTTGGCTTTCGCGTAGCGTTTGGAAGCCATGGAAATCCCACCTCGCAAGCCTTTTTCGATGAACAGGTGTATGTCGTAATCTGTCAATAGTTTGAGTTTCACACCAGTCTTTTTCAACAAGGCATCCCAAGAGAGACCCGGGGAGGAGAAATACCACGCGGGGTCTAGGTCGTACTGTTTTGAGCACGTTTTCCTGAATATCTCGAACACGTCGGCCAACAGGAG